TTTACTTAATACTTTTAATTTTATCCTTTCACTTGTCCCTCACTTCCTCTCTCTCTTTTGCTCTTTGTTTTTTTCTTAAGCCGCCGTAGATGGTTTTCCTAGTTTTTTCAATGAATAGATCCTAATCCTTAGCATTTACCTATTTTTCTGTACTTTTCAGTACTCAAGGAACACTTACAAACTATTTCTTCTAGCTCAAATCCCTTGAAAATGTAGCTAAATATGCTGATTATGTTAATTTTTTTGGTAGCCAGCCACATTAACCAATTAGAAAGTTGGACTAATTGGAACGTTTATCAGGACAGTTCAAAGGGAATTGAATGGAATGGTGGTTTGATCCAGTAATTGAAGGTCCATTCTGAATACTTCACTCTGGGAATTCTCCCAACAGTATTGTTTTTTTCTTAGACATAGACAAGGCCGTGCTTTTTGTGATTTCAATTAGCTTGCTATGTAATTATATTGATAGGCGTTGCATTCTGTGGCTTCAGTTTAGAAATTAGCGCGGCTCATGGAGAGGTTGTCAGTCTAGGTGCGCGGCTCATGGAGAGGTTGTCAGTCTAGGTGTCATTCATTTATGTGCATTTACGAATGTTGAGCCGTATGAAAAAATAAGTTAGATAGGGTCCTGCTCGCTATAACCCTAATATCTATGTTGCCCCTCTCAGTGGTAGCTTCTTAGATTTGGACTATTACTTGGGTCTATTTGATAAATATTCTTCCCACAGGCAGTTGTTTTGAGGGAATATAAATATAACACCACATGTCGGAGGACATTAAGCAGCCTGATTGCCTGACATACATGAGGTGATGAGGCAATCTCTCAATGTATGTTTGAATTAACAAAAAAGGGAAGATAATTGGCTGCTTAAGCTTGGCCGTTATTCAGAGTCAGCAAACAGGAAATAATTAAAACATGGGGTTTATACTTGTATCCAAGGAGGAAATTGAATGAATTCCAAGTTGTTACAATTTGTCATTGGCTTAATTTCATGACACACACTCCCTTTTTCATTCACAGTACATGTGCTTATTTTAAAAAACTAAAAGTGAATCAGAATTCTCAATTTAAAATTTAGGCAAAAATTCATGACTCATTTAATATCATTGGACATGCCTGCGACTGACACAAACCAGGCACAGGCATAAGTACCCTCTCTACATAGATGCCTGGGGGCCTTCGTAATAGTGCAATATCCATTTTGCACAGATGTAGAAATGGTGATCTTTTCAAATGTTTTGCATTTGGATGTATAAATTTTGTGGAAAATTTTATTTTCTCAATTCTACTTGGAATAATTGTCCTTGGCCATTTTTCTTTAAAATGGCCTAATCAGTGCATTAAATTGCTTTTTAGAATTAATTGATTTAATCAACTTAAAATCAACGCTTTAGCTGTTTTAGAATTTGCACTTTTGGGAAGATTACATTACCAAACCCCAGGCAAGGGTAATTTTATGAAAGGGAAAAGAGAAATATGCTAATTAAAGATCAAAATTGATTTATTTATCCTCATTTTCTTTTCAAATTATATTGTTCTTCTTGGGTATGGTGCATGGATTGCTGCCCTGTTGACTACTGCTGATTGAGTAAATCTAATAGTGAGTTGGTTTCATTTTATTTAAATTGCTTACATTTTCTTTTCTTTTCTTTTTTTGCTGAGGAAAATTGGCCCTGAGCTAACATCCATGCCCATCTTCCTCAACGTTATATGGAATGCCGCCACAGCATGGCTTGACAAGCAGTGCATTGGTGTGCGCCAAGGATCCGAACCTGCGAACCCCGGGCCGCCGCAGTGGAGCGCGTGCACTTAACTGCTTGCGCCACTGGGCTGGCCCCACATTTTCTTTTTTGGAACACTTAAAACAGTTCAGAATTCAGGGACATATCCAAATTAGGAATTCTGATTTTTGTCTTTCATTGACAAATTTACTTTGTGCAAACGCAGCCTGAAAAATATTTGCTTATGACTAAAAACTTGTGTTTCTATCAAGAGACATTCTTGACATACTGCCAGTACATTTTAATAAATTAATCACTTTGTACGTGCTATCAGGCATGAGGCATTGTGAATGGACTTTGACTGAGGTCGCTGTAGAGTTGCAATAATCAGAAGCATGACACAGAGCTTATAATGTCCACGAGATCTTGTTGAGGGCTACAAGAATGCAGACTGGCCATCACATGAATTTTCTTCACTCACCTATTCATCCCACCATATTTTGATAGGTTGAAATTGAAGGGAAGAGAGTAAACAACAAAAATGGCCTAACATGTAATAAAATGATTTACACATCACTGGCTGTGTGACCTGGATAAGTTACGTGCCCACTCTGAGCCTGCTTTCCTCAAGTGTGGGGCAAGTACCAGGGAAAATTTTTGTGAGGATTTGCACGAGGTAGTTAACATAGAGCACCTAGTAGTGCCTAGCTGATGAATACATGTGTGAGGGAGAGGAAGGTATAAAGGAAGAAAGGATGGATTGATTTTGATTGCCTGTGTTGCTACAAAGAAATGTAGCACACACACAAAAATCATTAGCTAAAACACGTGAACAGCTGTGTTCAGAACCCACCCTGCACCATCTAAATCATCTCCCCACAGCAGTTCTAAGTTTTAAGAAAACCAACCATATTGCTAATTGAATGTTCAATAAAGTACCCTTGTTAATTTTCATTATAATTCGTTAAGTGTTAGAGTTAAGGATCCGTTCTGGGCAAAAAAAAGTATTTAATACAGTGTCCATTTTATAACATGGAGGCAATTTTCCTGTGATAACAAAATCATTATAGGTTTTTAGTTGCATCCTTTTTGCATAGTGTTGGTTATAATTAGCACTTTTTGACACTGAGTCCTTGATTAGGTAACAAATCCAATTCCAACATTTTTGTGTGTGTGTGTGTGTGTGTGTGTGAAGAAGATCAGCCTTGAGCTAACATCCATGCCAATCCTCCTCTTTTTGCTGAGGAAGACTGGCCCTGAGCTAACATCCATGCCCATCTTCCTCTACTTTATATGGGACGCTGCCACAGCATGGCCTGACAAGCGGTGTATGGGTGCACGCCCAGGATCCAAACCCGGGCCTCCAGCAGTGGAGCGCACGCACTTAACTGCTACGCCATGGGGCCAGCCCCCAATTCTAACATTTTTATAACTTAACTGTTTTCAAGGACTATTTTGAAGTCCAGTGTGTAAGCTCCTTGTATCAGTTTGGCTTGAAGTAGTCACGTCCTGTAACAGCACTGCTCCAGGTGGTTTCTTCCCAAGATGTCGTCGCCTCTAACTCTTCAGCTCTGCAACCCAACTCAACAAACTTTGCCCTCAGCCCGTCCACATTGGAGTCGATAGTAAAGCTGATCCATCACTTACCCTTCACTTGGGAAGAACTAGCACAATCAGTTACAAACATTAAAATCTTTGGCAACGTAAACATTAGAACAGCTAAGCCGTATTGAGATTGGAAACCAAAATCTTGAGAGAATGAAAAATAGTATGTCATATTTTATGTGCCATCTTCCAACTAAAATGTTGAGACCTTTTCAACTTTCAGGACAGATTTGTGTGTGTGTGTGTGTGTGTGTGTGCGCGTGCATTATAACTTGGTAATAAGATTTTGGTGATTGTCAGTGTAATATTACCAATTGAAGCAAACTTTTCTCTTTTCATCAATGATGCTTAAGAAAATAAAAAATAAGCCAAAAAGGAAAGAGAGAGAAAGAATGCTGAAGTTAAGTTGCTTCCTCAAAGGTGGTGTACAAGATTAATCATACAAGTACAAAAAGAAAATGTTAGAGCTTCTTTCTAATTTTATCTAATACTTTACTTTTTTACTTTTGTCTCTTTAATGATGCACATAATCTGATAGATACTTAGTCATATATTGAGGGGAGTGGCTGCTTAAAAGCAAATTTTATACAAGTGCATAATCAAAAATGTTCAAAGACCACTCCAGGAGACACTAAGGGGGAGAGACTCATTCTTTGTTTTGAGGTCATTTCTCAGAAGAAAAAAACATATTAAAGAAAGGAAAAAATATTTTATTGTAATATATGTTTTACATTTTTTTAATTAAATATTTTTGTATTAAGCTTCATATTGCATCTGTGTCGTTCAAGGAATTTAACCTATTTTTTCAATTTTGTTTATGTCCTTTCGTGTTGTCCACACTCGTTAATACCTAGAGTAACTACAGAAGACAGAGCATGAGCGTTGCTTACTGACATGCTTTTCATTGCTAGGGTGTCATTCCTGAAGTGGCTCTCACTTAACAGGAATATTCTTTGGCTGTTTCTTACTTTCATCATCGTGTTAATGAGCTGTAATTAGCTTTATTGAGATAACTGAGGATGTAATTACTTTAAGGATTTATGTGTAATGTATGAATACTTAGATTGGGCTTGTAGAATCAGGTTGTCAAAAGCTTCCTCTTGAAAGTGTGATGTGAATTACTTTTGCCTTAGGCTAATCTTGAAAGAAACCTCTCTCTATTTTTTTTTTTTGTGAGGAAGATCAGCCCTGAGCTAACATCCATGCCAATCCTTCTCTTTTTTTTTGTGCTGAGAAAGGCCGGCCCTGAGCTAACATCTATTGCCAATCCTCCTCCTTTTTTTTTCCTTTTTCTCCCCAAAGCCCCAGTAGGTAGTTGTATGTCATAGTTGCGCATCCTTCTAGTTGCTGTATGTGGGATACCACCTCAGCATGGCCGGAGAAGCAGCGCGTTGGTGCGTGCCCAGGATCTGAACCCAGGCCACCAGTATCAGAGTGCGAGCACTTAACCGCTAAGCCACGGGCCGGCCCCGAAAGAAACCTCTCTCGATGGTCTTCCTTGAAGTAGTAATTGGCCTTGGCTAGGTCCAATGTAGAGAGTATTTTACTAACTTTACTCATTAGATCAGCTCTAATGTGTCAAAACAAAATTTGTGACGGGTAGGACAGAGTTTTATAAAATTGACATAATATTAACAGAAATTATATTAATTCAAAATTTATTTTCCTTTTAGTTCGCAGGAAGATGAAAGACCTATGTCACCTTTCTATTTGAGGTATTTATTTGATTTTGGTTGGTCTGTTACAGGGAATGGAGAAGGGTTAAGGCTTCTTTGGATTTATTTGCCCATTTTAATTCTTTTCAGCAGAATATTCTACACTGTGGCCAGACTAACCTTATTGGAGCTTTTCACCGTATTGTCCATGCTGTATTTTTCTTCTCTTTGGTTTAAGAAATCTTAAAACAAATTTTAATATAGTTGAAAAGACTAAAATAAGATTTGTTTAAATTCAGAAATGTCAGGGTAGGCATTTTAATTTCAAAAACTGCCCGATGATTAGGCTGTCACCTAAATTTAAAAATCTCTATTCTGTACATCTGTACAGATGGGGGACGGTTGTGAGCACACACTCACTTTCTTGGGTTATGTTAGATCTTTTTCTATATAGTAGGGCAGGGTGAAACCAAATATTCGGCAAGTTCGTGGAGTTCAGGGTTATTTTCTGAAGTTTATAAATCAAGAATAACAACTATTAAAACACCTAAGTTTACAGAATTCAAAGTAGATATTAGACGAAATCTCTTCTCTCCAGATTAAAAAGTTGCTATATTGATGTGATTTTCAATGAAACCATTTGACTTATGTGTAACCTAAAACCAAGTTTTTCTTACTTATTACGTTTCTTTCCTCATTACTTACCCATTTCAAAGGCTTAGAAAATATATTTGAAGATAATATGACCATATAAATTAAAGTTAAAATTGCTGAAGTTTTTAAAAAATTTTTCCTCAATTTTGAAATCTTTTTTAAAAGAAATGTCAGGATATATGATACATCGTTTGTTTGTTTTTGAATCTGATTTGTTGCAGTAGTCCCAGAGTTAGATTTAGACTTTAATATGAACCACCAATAGTTCAGAAATGTGTCATAGGACTTCAGGCTTAGCCAAGTAACTGCTTTTCAGAAATGTTCTACCCTTTAGGGACTTGAAGCCTATTGCATAATCACTTGGTGGCAAAGAGAGGGAACGTTTGAGGTTTCAGTTTGAGACAACATGGTGGTCCATTTGATTCATCCTGGTTTCCTGCCAACCAAATCAGCATATTCTGGTTCATAGGCTATCTCAACTGTGCAATTACTGTAAACACATGAGGATATTGTTGCTGAGTACATGGTGACTCTGGTATTCATTATGTAAATATACACAGTAATATCAAATAAATGATTATCATATATTAATGGAAATTAAGTTTTACACAGTACAGCAGACTACAGCACTAGATCATGCCAACTAATGAGAACTATTAGTTCTCTGAAAGTCTTATTTTTATTACTCTGAGTAACATCAATCTATGTTTTGCATAGTATTGAATTTTTTTTTACCACTATTTTAAAAAGCAGATAGGGAAATGAGTTTGTAAGTCAAGTCCTCACAGACACATAATTGTGTTTTATAGTGTGATAATTTTTGCAATTACCTAGACTAATAATAATGTAGTCTTGAAAAAGAAATGCTGTACTTGGAAAATGAAAGTAAAAGAATGTAAATATAATTAATATATTTACTGAACTCTCGATAGAAGCTATTTGACCTTTTAATATTAAGAGTCAAAAAAATTAAATGTGGTAAAAATAGAAAAAAAATTAATATGCATACTAGCCCACATTTACAGTAGAGGTAAAATTGCAGAAAAAAGAAAAGTTACCAGGAGGCATTCTTTTCATATGAGAGTTTAAACTAAGTAGAGCTATTTCATGAATGCAAAAATAGTAATTATTTGGCCTGAAATTAAAATTTCAAATGTACTTTCTTTTTCTGAATAACATTATATTCAAATGTACTTTCTTTTTCTGAATTAACATTATGTGATAGTCTTAGAAATTAGGTAAGAATAGGTTGGTACAAGTTAATTTTTTGTGTTACCCACTTGACATGAAGCAGGGAAATCTATTGGTAAAACGTGAACCTATTTTTTTTTTTCAAATTAGTTGCATGGCTGGTTTAAGATTGATTTTTCTTGGGTTATTCTAGCATACACAATTCAAGTAGAAGACAGAAAACACGATTATTAATTATGATTAATTCTAGATTTTTCAACTAGAAATATAACATGTCCAATGATAATTTAATTTATAAATTAGTGCACCTTTTTTTGCACTACCTCCAGTAAGAGCAAATGACTGCTTCAATGTTTTAAATAAATTTCTGTTGCTTCCTTGTTCCATTTCGTTCCCTCCCACTTGATTACTTAAGATCTCTTTAATGCAATGCTCAAAAAGGGGAGTTATTGCAAGACTCATGGATTTCAGAATGATTTGTTGACATGATGAAAAACTAAATTGGCTCTTTTAAATCCAAAATAATACTTACTCTGCCTTTGAAAAGTGACTGGTAAACTGGTAAAAGATATCATTTGCAAAATGATATCTTCCCTGAGTAGGAATGTGGGATATTGAATGCTGTATGTTGTATTTTGACAGTGTTGATTGGTCAGGTTTTTTCTGGGGGACTGGGGGCAAGGGGGGATGAAAGGCCCCATCAAGAGATGAGACAGTCAGCTGAGGTGGGTACTCACTAGTAGTAGATCCAGCCACAAGCAGCCAGCAGAGGGGATGGGCATGGGACAGCTAGTCAGTGGTGGGGTATTCAGTTTGGTGGTTTATTCTGAAAGGTCCAGCATGAGATAGAATGGCAAAACTCAGTGGCTACAAGCCTGGGAGTGGGCAGTCTTCAGGGAGACCAGATCAAAACAGAAAGAAGATAAGAGCAAAGCAGGGCTCCAGTCTCAGAGGAAGAATAATGATCCATAAAGGAACTCGGATACTGGAGATCCGACAGGCTTCCAGCTATTGGAGTGGAGACAAGGTGCATTATTTATAATGACAAGACAGTCTGTCTGGGTAGAGGGATAGAGATGGAGAGCATACAGAGAGGCTGCAGTGCACTAGTGGAGATTCCAGAACCTTCTTGTAGCTACGGGAAGGGGAGTGGGATGCAAGAACAGGGAACCAGAGAGGCCATTTCAGTCTTTAGCTTGCTCCACTTTTCACCTTGTAGAATTTCAGTTTCTGTGATTGTGATTCTATGTTAACAGTCATGGCTGAACCACATGTTAGTCTGCTGTACATTTCAATTGGCTTCGATCCTTTCTGTAGTAAGGTAAGGCTGTTATAATAGACAGGCACTCATATATTCTCCTTCTAGGTTCAATGTCTTCTGTGATAAGAACTCTGTCTTCTCTGATTTCACTACGTCTCCAGCCTAACCTAACTCACCACAGAGCCATTTGTCCTTTTTTGCAAAGGAAAGAAATGGTAGCTACAAATCGACACCTGCCTCCGTCCCATGTGGCAGGTTTATTGCAGCTCAAACAGTGGGTGTCCTTGTTCCCCAGATGCTCATTAGAGATTACCCACCGTGTTGAAGTGATTAAGGAAATGAAAGGGAAAGGCAGGTTATGCCAAACCCTTAGTGAGATTGCAGAAAATAAATGTGAACCTGTAAACTTACGGTGAAGAACGTTCTTGGCCAGGATGTCCGTACCCTGGCTTCTTTCATAATCTGGGTTGGAATCCCGGAAAAGGATCCCCTACCTTGATTGCTCAGATTAGCATCAAAGCAACTCGCTGTGGTGGTTGTTCTCTGCCACATTCGAACTGTTATTGTGTAAATTCCTTTTCCTGGCATCCAGTCAGATCTGTCTAGGGTCTGTTGCTAGTTCTGCTTCTGTTTGTCTGCGTCTTCAGTGTGTGCAAGCCCGGGTTTTGATTTCTGGGGTTGTTTCCACTGGACTGCTGTTCTTAATCTGCACGTTGTTCCTCTTCATCTCTGCCTGCTCCCACCTCACCTTCACTACCTTCTGGTTCCCTATGACCAGGGTCAGATCCTGTCCTCCTCCCATCCTGTCAGACTTCAACCCTTGAATTCCTCCTTCTTTACAAGTTCCTGGATTATACATATAGCCTGTGTACCTGGAATCCCTCTTTGCCTGTGCTGTATCAAAATTCTAAATATGTGCTTTGGGGCCACATAACCTGTAACCAATCTTGTTCACTGGGCACCTGGCCTCTGAATGGTGGCTCTTTGGTTCCTAATACTTGTCTTCTATCATCTACACTGATCTTCCTCTGCTTTCTCTTTCTCATTTTATGCTCTGTTGAAACCCTGAAATTGACTGTCTTTATTAATTTCAGTCCAAGTTTTAATACTCACAGTGCAAATTAAAGCTAAATTACTGTTTTAGCAGATTTAGAATTGCTTAGGGTCAGTTTCAGTATTTCATATGTTTTCTAATTTTCCTGAATCAGGAACGTCAAATAGATTTATTTCTAAATTAGCTGTCTGGCCTACAAACTCATTCTTTAGGATTTTGCTAATTTTTTTCCCTAGAAACTAGGAACCATCAATTTTATTAAAGTCTTTTAATTGTAGAATTTACATTGAAGAAAAAATTTAGCTTTGCATAAATTCAGATTGAAATATTACCTGACATTAGATGGGACCTGGCAATTATATCATACCACTCCTATCTTAATATGTAGAAAAATTCCTTCTAGATCATTTTTAGATAGCTTTTTGGGGATTACCTTTCCAAACAACTTGTGCTAGGATTTGTTGGTCATATTTCATTAAATTTGTAATGGTTTATTTTTCTCCTTAACCATACTGTATGTTTTCTAAATTATCATTTCAAGGTAAAAATCTCTCATCAGATGGGAGTGTTTGGAGAAGTGTAGCATTTAAGATATTATATTTGTTTATAGGCCTGTTTCAGGCTACTGACTAACATGTGGAGGAAACAAGCAGGCTGTTTACTTAATTATCTACTTGATTTTTTCCCAGATGATAAAATCAGCTAGATATTTGGGTGTCTTTAGACACAAATAACTGTATATTAAAAATGTTTGCTTTCCTTGTCCTTTTTTACTGAAATTTTATTTCTAAACTGAGGAGGCATGTCACCTCTGCCTGTGGAGCTCGTTTTTTGGAGGAGCGGGAGGTGGTAAATATAAATAACATAAAATTTACCATTTAACCATTTTTAATTGTTTTT